GTTGTGCAACCATCACTATAATCTCATCTTAGACCATTCTTGTCACTCCCCATTTTCCTACCTCCTCCCCACCCCCAGCCCTAGGCAACAACTAATCCACTTTCTGTTTGTATAGATGTACCTGTTCCAGACATTCCACATAAATGGAATCAGACAAGATATGGTCTTTTGTGACCGGCCTCTTTCATTTAGCATGATGTTTGCACATGTCAATACTTCAGTCCTTTTTGCAGCTGAATAATCCTCCAGCGTATGGACACAGCACGTTTTATTCATCCACTTGTCATTTGCTGGAGAGAGCTGTTTGTTTAAAGATGACTCTTTGCTTTCCTTTCAAATTCCAGATCAGAAAGCACAGCTCTGAAGATACTAGACAGAGCGTGTGCCCCCAGGCCACCTTGCACTTCCCTCCCCCTCAGGCAGGATCTGATTTTTTGGCACACCCCAGGCAAATCCTCCAGGTTCACTCTTGGGTAGGTCTGAAAGCTGATTCAGGGCAAATTTTCAAGTAGAAAGTTCTGGAGTCCAAACATTGTTACTGTCAAGGGTATGTAGGCTACTGTGGTCTGAATGTCCCAAAATTCATGTGTTGAAATGTAATTGTCAATGTGATAGTATTAAGAGGTGGAGCTTTTAGGAGGTGATTAAGTCATGAGGGCTTTGCATCGTGATTAGTGACCTTATAAAAGGGCTGGAGGGAACCAGCTAGGCCTTTTTGCCCTTTCACCCTTGCCCCATGTGAGGCCACAGCATTATCCCTCCCCCCATGTGAGGATGCAGAAAGAGGGCCCTCACCAGACACTGAACCTACTGGCACCTCGATCTTGGACTTCCCAGCCTCCAGAACTGTGAGAAATAAATTTCTGCTCTTTATAACTACCCAGTCAAAGGTGTTTTGTTATAGCAGCAGGAACAGACTAAAACAAAAACGTCAAATGTTGTCCTCTGGGGCTTGAGAGCCTTGGCCCCACCTTGGCCTCCTCCCAACTAAAGCCACCCTAGATTAACACATGGTCTAAGTAAAAACAGTGTGTCATCTGTCACACAGACTCAATTCTGGAGCAAGTCCCCCTGGAGGCTCTGCTAAGTTGGCCTTTCTCTTTGGCTTTGGGAGGCTTCCTGCTTCTCTTTGGGTGTCACCTCTGGCCACAACTTCCTGGAGCCTGGTGGCTAAGATCCCTCAAACCAGGATAACTGAGTAGAAGAGACAGAAATCAATATGCACTCAAATTGTGCTGGCTTAGTCACCAGCCAATTGGAATTCTATCAACTGCACTATGCCATGTTCACTGTTACATATTCAGATGGAGCAGGATTTAGCAGCAGATTTCCTCTTAATCTTCTTTGAGTATTTTGGGTCCTCTGGAGACCTCCCAGACAGATTCTCTGCTCTGCCTTCTGCCAGGTCTGTGTCTGGCCTTTCTTCCTCTGTGGGGAGGGCTCCAGGCACTGGCCCGCCCCAGCTCCCTCGGGATACCAGGGAGATAGTGGAAGCATTAACCAAGATGAATGACAGAGAAGATTCAGATCTGGGTGGTGCGAATGAAGAAAAGCCTCAGAGAGGTAGCTCTTCCCATACACGCCATGTCCTTGGGATACACAGATAGAGGCAGGGAGCTTTACTCGTGCTATTATGACCCCCACCCACCTTCACTTTCTTAGTCCTGGAGAAGCTACAAGAGGAGATGTCATCAGCATCTGTCCTAAAACCCCAGCAAGGAAGAAGTATGTAGGATGGGACAGGGCCCTAAGTGGCAACTGAGCATTTTCCCCGTGGTCCTTAGGGTGGCAGACCTCTTTCCACTAATGGAGGCATTGTCCCTGTAAACCTCTGACTGAGTCTCACACTTGGGGATATCTGGGAACGGTCCCCATCCGCTTTGAGGAGGAGGCCTCTTCCTGAAGCTCCGGTCTTTTCCACCTCAGCTCTTCCGTGCTATCCCCACTTGGGCCACGAGATGGTGCCAGACATCACCAGTTGGACATGAAACGTTGGGGGCGGAGGTAAAGGCTGTCACTGAGGGCTCCTGATCTTGAAAGGATGTCAGCTTCACCTGACCTTAAATTCATTTAATTCTTCTAGAATACATTTTATGTGTATGTTATTTTTATAAGTACATTCTTTTTATAACTATATAAAGAACATATTCCCAAATACAGTAGTTCCCCCCTTGTCTGTGGTTGCCCTTTCTGCAGTTTCAGTTTGAAAATATTAAATGGAAAGTTCCAGAAATAAACAACTCATAAGTCTTACATTGCACACCATTCTGAATACAGTGATGAAATCTTGCTCTGTCCCACTTTGTCCCGCCCAGGACCTGAACCATCTCTTTGTGCAGCAGATCCGCACTGTCTACACTCCCCACCCGTTAGTCACTTAGCAGCCATCTCAGTTATCAGAGCAACTGTCACAGTGTCACAATGCTTGCGTCCAAGGAACCCTTATTTTACTTCATGATGGCCCCAAAGCACAAGAGTAGCAGTGCTGGCATCTCCTTATAATTGTGCTATTTTATTATTTGTCATTGTCATTAATCTCTTACTGTGTCTAATTTATAAATTAAATTTCATTGCATGTATTTTGGTATAGGAAAAAAACATAGTATATATAGGGTTTGGTACTATCCATTGTTTCAGGCATCCACTGGGGGTCTAAGAATGTACCCCCCTCGGATAAGGGCGACTACTGTATTAACAACACTCACGAGTACATATTTTCTTAGCCTCCCCTCTCTCTGCCCTCTGTCTTCAGCAACAGTAGTAGGGAACTGTGGCCAGCTGTATAGTCCTCAAAATTCTGATGTAGGGCCGGCCCGGTGGCGCACTGTGCTTGGGAAGCGCAGCGGTGCTCCCGCCGAGGGTTCGGATCCCACATACAGACGGTTCCCGCTCACTGGCTGAGCGAGGCGCGGGGGCAACACCGAGGCTTGCGATCCCGTTGCCGGTCCCCGGTCCGGTACGGGGGCAACACTGAGGGTTGCGATCCGTTGCCGGACACGGAAAAAGACAAAAAGGAAAAAAAAAAATTCTGATGTAAAAACTGACAGTCAGTCAAGCAGATCAAATTGCTGGTTCAGCCACTGAGGAGCCTGCAGATTGGGCTGCTCCCGGGCGGGGACGGAGTGAGGCAGCAGTGGCAGCGCCCTGGGGCACCCTACTGCCTACAGCCACTGTAGCCTGCTCTCTGCTGCTCTGAAGCACCGGCCATGGTGCTTTTCACTGGAAAAGAGACTCGTGGGCTGTAAGAGGAACAGGAACACAAGTCAGCAGAGCAGGTGGCACTGTCTGCATGAGGAGAGGAAAACAAAGACAGACCTCTGTGCGGGGCCCTGGCCTGGCCTGAATGGATCCTGGACCGAAGATTGTTCTGAGCACCCCTGGGCAGGGAAGGCGTTAGTGGAATGGAGGGCAAATGCAGAAGGAGACCCCAGAGAGGGCAGGAACCACCCCCAACTCCCAACCCCACCCCCAGCCCCAGAAACCCCAGTCTTCCTGGAGGCTTCCAAGAAATAGAGTGTGATATGAGGTATTTTCTTTTTGTATTTTGCACGTTTCTAGACCAAAAATTGAGGTGGAGAAGAGGCAGTGAGACCAGTAACATGCGTTTAGAAGCCCCCAGCCCGTGGGCTCAGACGCAGGGCTGGGGCCTTGCCAGCTCCATCACTGAGATGGATTTCCTTGGCCCAGGCACATGGTGGCCTGGTGGGGTCAAGCACTTGACATAAAGCAAAAGAGACCAAATTGCAGAAATGAGAGCTGCGACCGGTTCCAGCTACACAGTCTCACCAATAGAGTCTCCCCATCCCATGCTAGCTCAGAGCCCCTTCCTGCCTCCAGCCCCTCCAGCAGCACTCTCCCTGCCCACAGCTCCTGAGCTGCCTCTCACCCCTCATTCACAGAGACCTAGAAATCTACTTTCTCCAAAAATTGCTCTGGCTGGGAGCAGAAATACCAGTTGCATCCCTACCCCACCTGCATGAACACCATGGCCATACACCTTGGTTCATGCCTTTATTCTGAAGCCAGGTCGGTGTGCATAGCTGCCTCCCTAGTCTGAAATCAATGCCCCTCTCAGCCCCTGCCCTGCCCCCCACCCTCTCTTCTTCTTCCCTCCCCCAACCAGCCCGCAGAAGACTGCTCTCCTCAAGGTCACAGACCTGCTGTCAGGGGCTGATCCTTGGAAAGGAGCTGTTTAAAGTCGCTCCCTAATTGCCTTCTGAAACATCAATATCAGAATAGATTGAACCGCCACTATTTGCATTTTAATGGGAAGGCAGTGGGAAGGGAGGCTTCATTGGTTAACTGGTAAAGTATAGTAGGAGGGACCTTAGAGACATTGTGATTCTGGCCCAGCGGGCAGGCGCAAGGTCACAGGTCACAGGTCACAGGCTGGCTGGGACTGGAGCGTCATGAGGCTGATTGACTTCCCTGACTCCCCATACCTGCCATGAGGTGGCTTCCACTGCCCTCTGAGAAGAGTGACCTTGGGCCTTGTGGTCTAAAAACAGGGAGCTAGTCAATCAAAGGAAGAGGAACATCCCTCAGGCTGTCCTCAGAGGACTGGTGGCTCTAAGCAATGCCCCCAAGGTCCTGCACCCAGGAAGGTCTGATTCAGGGAGAAGGGCACATGCAGGGGGAAGGGCAGGCCCAGGGAGGAGAGCAGGGCACCCAGAGAGGGGAGACAGATGTCTGTTCAGCCATTTACCACCTCTCAGGCAGCCTGAGAGGGAAGAGAACTAGGCTGGCCACCTCTCAGGGCCACAGCTCCAGGCTGGGACACCCTCAGGCTGGCTTCGTGGGCCATGTCATGGTGGAGGCATGTCCGCCCAGGTGCATATGTGTGGATTAGGCACGAGGGATCAGGGTAGTCCATGTGGGGACTGGGGGAGTTGGGGGAAGCTGGGTCACGTGGTAGAAATACAAATCAGAAGAGATCACACCAGGCTGTGCTCAGGAAGAGGCCCCGTGGGTGTCCTGAGACCAAACAAGCTCCGCTCCTCCTAGAAGTTGATGCTCTTCAAGTCCACAGAGCAGCGGTACCTGCCATCCAGGAACCTGGAGCACAACAGGTTGGGCAAGCAGGGACAGGTGTGGTGCTGGCGCTTCCTGATGAAGGGGATCTGGGGAGAGAAGAGAGAGGCATCTTCACCAGAGGGAGGTGGGCCTCCTGGCAGGAGCCGCTGGTCAGCCCCAGCCCCCACCCCCTAACCTGCTGACCCCCACCTCATACAACAATAATAGCAATTACAGATGAAGAAACTGAGGTACAGTGTGACTAAGAAATGTGCCAAGACCACGCAGCTAATTTGTGGAGGAGCTAGGATTTGAACCCAGGCAATCTGGCTCCTGAGACCCAGCACGCATGCCTGCACCCACACACACATCCGTGGATTGAATACTTACTGCTCATCCATTATGTACTCAGCATGTGGTGGTGCAGCCGTGAACAGGACAGGCACTCACACCCCAGAGGAGTGCTGAACCACTGAGATACCCTCAAGGGGGTTTGAAGAGGAGCAGGTAGGAGCACAGGTCTGGTGTTAGAGTGCCTGGGTTCAAATCCCAGGTTTGCCATTTTTCCAGCTCTGTGATAATTGGCAAACTATTTAGCTTCTCTGTGCCTCAACTTTATTATCTGCAAAATGAGTTAATAATAGCAACTACCAAATATAGTTGTAAATTATATATTAATCATTATATTTTTAAAAAGCACTTAGTATAAAGAGTGGCATGTAGGAAGCACTCAGAATTAGTTTTTATCACCACTGTTGTCCTCACTGGGAATATGGATCTGCAACTGACCTGCACCCCAAGGCAAGGAAGCCTGCGGCTCTGTCGCCCTGAGCAGACCCTGCCCCGCCCCCAGTTGCTGTGGCCTCTCTGACCTTTCAGGAGCAAAGGGTCTGTGAGCTCTGCTATGCCCTCTGGGCTGTCAGCTGGCTGTCAGGGGATGAGAGCAGAGCTGGAGCTAGGTGCTTAAGGTGCAGAAGAGGGAGTACCTCCTTCAAGTGTGCACCCCCCGCACCTCGTGCCTCACTCTAGTGCACGGGAGGACATTTTGCAGGTCTTGTTTCATGTTCTTGAAAGGGGGGTTCCTACCGAGCAAAGGGCATTTAAGACCCTTTCAAAATCTGAATTTGTCAGATCCATGAGAGACTTTACAGGTAGTGTGCTCCCCTCTCCTATACACGAGGCCCAGAGCTATTAATCTAACTGCCAAGGCCACACAGGAAAGGAGAGGCCGGGGATGCCCAGCCCCCAGGTCTAACAGCCTGTGTGATCTCCACCATCACCCAGGCTGCCGCCAAGAAGCGAGGAGGCAGTGCCCAACATCAGTGACATATAACTAGAAGTGGCATCAGAAAACTGTAGTTCCAGTCCCAGCTCTGGCTCATTGCCTGTGTGCCTTGAGCAAGTCACACGACCTTGCTGTACCCCAGTTTCCTCACCATTGCCCAGGGCTGCTGTGAGAATCAAATTAGATCAGTGGTTCTCCAGCCTGAGCTAGCAGGTTGTAGGTGGACAATGTCAGGCCCTGTACAAATGTACAAATGTTTTATCTGCAGGACACTAAGTAAGGTGGCTGTCTGCTTCCCTTGGAAAGTCAGGGGCTGGATCAGCTGTCAAAGGGGCGGGGTTGCCCTCCCCCACACTGCCTTCGGGAGCCACAGCCTCACGGGTCTTGGCTGAGCAAGGCCTCCAGTCTGCTCAGCCCACGGATGGCCCACATGTGTGTACCCGTGCAGTGTCTATGCAGTACCTTGTGACTGCCGGGGTGGCACTGCTCTCCTTCCCGCCCTAGTGGGGTGCACATTCGCAGCCCGCGCAGCCACAGGCTGATGGCACAGCAGGTGCCTGCTCCACACTGGACATCCTGCTCACAGGCCTGCAGCAGGGAGACACAGGGAGCAGCCCATTAGCACCACCGTAGAGAAACCAGAAGACATTCAAAAAGCCTATGTCAAGATGGGGAAGAAGAGGCTGAGAGCATCACCCCTGGCCTCAGCCTAGCAGGACACATTGGGCTATACATTATGGCCCCTGCTCCTCTCTTGGGCAGGATGCTCAGGGCTCAGTGGGATATCAGACCTGGATCTGAGGAAACATCCAAGCTCCTTTGAGAGCAGTCGGTAGAGAGACCGTCCTCTTTTTCTGACAAGTCTGGAGGTTAGGAGGCATTGTTTTTCTAGTGCCAGTAGACACTCAGCCGATGCTGGCGGAAGTGAATTAATTGGAATTCTCAGAGTGGGGATGGCTCAAGCCCCTGGATGGTCAGTGCTGAGTTGCCTCGGATTAGGATTCTCCACCTCTGGCCCAGCACCTGTGGTTGGTCCCTCCCCTCTACACACCTGCACTTTCTCCGCCCTCAGAGGCCCAGCCTCATCCGAGGGGCCAGTGCCCCAGAGAACAGGTGTCTCTCCCTGATGTTTCTCTGTTGACCTTCTGATCCCCAGATAGGGATGGACTCCTCTGGGTTGGGCTCACAGAACAGGGGCTGGAGTGGCCCTGACTGGTTTCCGGAAGTTGCCATTTGTTAAGAAGGCCACACAAACCCACACTTAAGAAAAGCCAGGGTCGGGAAAAACAGAAGTCTGAACTGCTCCAGACTTCTCCAGACTTGATGGAGAAGCATCCAGACTTCCCACCTCCAGAGAAGTGTTGTGAATTTTCTGAGCTGAAATTCAAAGCTGGGTTTTGGTTTGCTTTGCTCTAATAGAAGGCCCAGGAGCACCTTCTGGCTGCCTGTCCAGGACTTGGCAGGAACTGGAAGCTTCCAACTTGCTCAGCTCCAGGACAGAAAGGGGATGTCATGTCCTTTTAGCACCCAGAGGAAGTGCAGGTGGCAGTCACCCAACACCAGGTTCCAGCCCAGCGAGGACACATCTCATACCCCAGCTGTGGAAGTAGAGATAACCCCCAACCTTTTTGGTAAACAATACCAGATACTTAGGACCTTCCATTACCAGGTGCTTAAGACCTTCCGTCGCCAGAAGATTAGGACTTTCTGCTGCCAGGTGGAAGGGACTTTCCAAAGAGCCCAAAGTTCACCCTGTCCCAGGAAGGGAGTATGCTCACCTGATTGCAGGAACAGCATGACACCTTATCTTTGGACACCAAGGGAGGAAAGACGGGGGGGTGGACCGTTGGTCAATACCTCAGTCTTTCCTTTGCCCGCCAAAAGCTAAAAGCCCAATGGTTTTAAAAATTGCTTAAAGTGGCCAATAAACAGCGTACAACCCAGCCTGTTACCAAAGCCTGCCTACCAAACTGTATAAAAGATGCTTGAGTTAAGAGCTCGGGGCCGCTCCTGTCCTGAAAACGGGGCGACCTCCAGCATGCCGGAAATAAAAACCTCTTGCTTGTGCATCGATCTCTGTGCCTCCTGGTCTTTGCGAGATGAGCCTTCCCATCAAGTAAGAACTGTGCTTTTAGGCCGGTCTTACACAGCCAGCCCCCTGAAGGCTCAGCGTTAAAGAAAAGGAGACCCCACCTGACTCTTCTCCTGCAGGGATGGGACATTACTATCCCACTCTTGGACGAGGGACCATCCAGTCCTGAATTTGGGGACTGTCACAGTCCAGGGAGCAGGGGAGTGTGGAGATGGTGGAAACTGGCTGCTTGCTGAGAGTCCAATGTGGGACATCAGCAGGACATGGAGGATGGAGGGAGGCTGGGGGTTCCTGGCTCCCACTTGAAGCCCTGTTCTCACTACTCATCCCCACTTTCACACACTCACCCACTCTCACCCTCACTTTCTCCCTTGTGCTTTCCACGGTGAAGATGTTTTCCCACCACGCTCAGCCCTGCCTTTCTTGCTGTCTCTCTGGGCCAGACATTGGAGCCGGCACAGTGAGGTTAAGCTGGGCTTCAAGGTCAACCACACTGCTCCCGTCCCTCTCCATGGGGTAGCCTTGGCTTCTTTCCTTTGTTCTCACCCCCACCCCCATCCCCACCCCCAAAGATCTTCAAGCTACACAATAGAAGGATAGCCTTCAATGGTTTCCATTCATTAGTATAATTCTGCTTTCACAATTTTATTTACACTCTGCATCTCAAAAGCATTGACTTGCCTTTAATATGTGTTCTTCTTTTAACCTCAGTCTTTTTCCTTTAAAAAGAAGAAAGGAATTTTTCTTTCTGTGAACATTAAAACTAATCCAATTCCAGGAATTGTTTGGTATTTCTCTATATTTCCATTCCCTATGTAAAAAGTTGGAGGAGGTTGAAATAACAGTTAATCCCCCCCCCCTTTTTTTTTCTAGTGGCTTTTATGTGGAAAGCTCTCAGGTAAAGCATTACTTTTTGGTTTAATAAGAATGGTTCCAACACTGTAACACGACATGTGCCCCATCTGAAGGTGATTTGAGGTAAAGCCAAATATCTAAGGGAAAGCCACGATCCAAGTTTTTGAACACTAGCATGTGTGGTGCCCCTGTGCTGACCCTCTGATCTGAGGCTGGATTTCTACTTGTCTGGGCTCTTGCTTTTGGGTGCGCTCAGCAGAATGTTGGTGTCGCTCATATTCCCTCTCAGAACTAACTGGGCACAGAGTAAAAGAAAGAGTTTCAAGATGTTGTTTTTTAGAAAAACAGAGGTTAAACTGACGCGATAGAAGTTAATAAGCTTACTGCCTTTAATTAAGTCAACGTGCTATGTCAGTTAAAATTGACATGTGAACCAGATCATATATGAAAACCAAATTTACGCAAAAGACAAATTAGGGGGTGCCGATCCACTTTATAAAGGAATTCCTTATTACACAACAGGAATCTTCATTTTACCAAAAGACTGAACTTCAGAATTTTCAATGCTCTCCTAACGCATTTGAAACAGGATTTGATTTGCACAGCTTCTCAAAGGCAGATCCCATTTTCAGATTAATCTGAAAATCTCATGCAATCCCTCGCTGAAGCTGTCTGATGTTTAACTCCCCAGTTTCTTAGGTTTGCAGTGCGTCCAGCCGGCAGAGCCACCTATGTCGTTCTTGGGCTCACATCCCGTGCAGACCCGGACATCTTCCCGAAACCCAGGGCATAAAGAATGTTAGCTAACTTACCCCTGTGATGACAGCACAGTCGGTCACAGTTACTAGGAGGAGCACGACTGAGACTTGCATTGCCCCTCTCATGGTCACTTGGGGTGAAGGCAAAACACTGCTCGCTCCAAGACTGCTCACTTCCTCCTGCGTAGCCTCGTGCCTGGCGAGCTGGGAAGGCCAGGCTCTCCTGCCTCCCTCCTTCCTCCCAGATCCAGGGCTGCCGGTGGATGCCTCGTCTCTGCGCTTCCCTTCGCCATCAACAATGTTATTCAGATGATTTCAGAGGTGAAGATGAGACTTTAATCCCTAATAACAACAAATCACCATCAAAAACCACAAAAATGGACATATCAGGGACTTTGACAGTTGCTCTAACTCTCCCAAGAAGGCAGTGATTCAGACAGTTGTGTACATTTCACTCAATGTTGTTTTGTCCCTCTGGGCATCCTTCTATCTTGCTTGAGGCAGGGGTGGAGGGCTTGGCAATGAATTAAGGGATTTGCAGCATTGACATTTATCCTTCCCTGAACCAAACCATGCAATGTATATACAGGATTATTGGTTCCCACACACTCAAGTCAATAAGAGTTATCTAGGTATTTGGTGTGGACTCAACACGGACATAGCTCAGAATACACAAGTGGGTAAGGTGGGGTCCCTGGTCCTCTAAAATGTTAGAATCCCAGTGTGGACATGTGAGACAGAAAACAAGTCCAGGCTTGTGGGGTCGATGCTCCAAGTGGCACACATAAGGATTTGCTCTCTAATGGGCTCAAGACAAACACCAGCAAGTGTCCCTTGGTACAAGAACAAAAGGGCAGATCAGCAAGCACATGGGCCTGCAGAGAAGCGAGCTTGGTGCAGCTAAAGGGTACCAGGAGCCACACTGCTGGCCTTCCTGTGAGCATGAGAGTGGCCTTATCTGTGAGCAAACAAACACAGTGGGCTCAGATGCCAGTCTGGAGAGAAGTTGACTTTGGGCGCAGACCATCCTGCTAGCAGGAATCTCCTGGTCCCAGCCCTCCCTGTGCCACACAACCCAGAGAGAGCTCTGGACCCGTCATCAGACGATCCAACTTCTCTCCACAATAATAAAAGTCAATATTTCCCAAGATATGTTTTGCAATGTGTTAATAGGTGTTACACATTCAAACAAATAAATAAAGATTTCTACAGTCAAAGATTGGTGAAACACTGAATTCCACAAGTTAAACCAGCTTTTTTTCCTACAGGACTTTTCAGGGCCTTTCCTATGCTAACAAGCATTTGAAACACCAAGTGGGAAATGCAATCTGTAGTATTTCTCTAACAGATTCATCCACAAAATGCTCTTTTCTTGGAGTTCTCATGGGAGTAGGGTTCCCACATAGAAATGTTGACAGGTATTTATGAGCAAAGAGAGAAAGATGAGTTAGCACTGTGCCTGGGAACCAGGCCTCTAGAGACAAACACTTTGACTTCTGGTCCCAGATAGATAACTAGCTTGGTCCCAGATAGCTCACTACGTTGAAAATGTTGCTAATCTCTCTAAGCCTCAATGTAGAGAAGAATAGCACCTATATCATAAGGTTTTATGAGGGTTCACCCATTTCTTTATTCATTGGCCGTATGTTTATTGAACACCTGCTATATTGTAGGCACTGTTCTTGGTGCTGGGGATACATCACTGAACAAAACAAGGTCCCTGTCTTTATGTAACTTTGACTCTAGTCGGGGGGGGAGACAGGTAATAGAGAAATTAACAATTAGATTTGTTATGAAATGGCCAGGTATGCTGAGCACTATTAAAAGGGAAGGCCGCGAAGGCAACAGGTCATGACAATGGGTATTTTAGATGGGATAAGGGTCTCTCTGAGAAGATACTTGAGCAGAAGCTTGATAAAGTGAAGAAGTGAGCTGGGCAGAGCCTGGAGGAAAAGCCAGTGCAAAGGCCCTGTGGCAGGGCTTCCTGGCCAGCTCCAGTAGAAGCAAGGAGCGAGGTGAGCTAGGGGAAGGAAGGGAGGGGATGCAGTTGGAACAGGAGCCAAGAGCCAAGTCCTGCCTGCCTTGTGGAACATGGTAGACCTGACTCCACATGTGATGGAAACCATTGGAGGGTTTGGAGCAGGGGATAGGCAGGATTGATTCAGTTTGAAAGGGTCCCTCTGACTGCAAGCGGAGAATTAAGTGAGATGATGCCTGTGAAGTGCTTAGCACAATGTCTGGCACACAGCAGCATTTGCTAACTATTGTTAATTTTTATCATAAACAGATGGGCCTGTCTGCCTTAATATAAAGTTTTCCTACAAGGTGAGAGTCAAAATAATGCATCCGTAAGGCCCATCCGTACACCATGACACTGAGACAGGCCAGCGACAGAAGCCACAAGAGCCCACTACAGCCTGTCAGGAACTTCCACTCTGGGAGAAAGGCAACCCAGGGAGAGGCAGCATTTTGCCGAGTACTTGGAGGAGCTCACAGAGGTGGCCAGGTGGGCTCTGGGTGCCCTGCCCCACCTCACACAGGTTGCCTTCCAAGAGACAATGTTAGACAGTGGCCGATTCTCAGGCTGATACCCGCCATTCACCCCCACCTTTCCTTTGCACCCCCCTCCCTCCCCAGCTCCTCCCCACAACACACAAAACTAATTATCCCACACAATTGCAATGAAATACTGCTGCAAAACAAAACCAATAACATTGATTGAGAGCATTTTATTTCTCTTGAATGCTAGTGCTTGAGGCAAAGCCAGGTTAATTAGGGGAGGGTAAGGGATAGATGGTGACTTGGTAGAAATCCCAGAAGAGACTCTGGGAGCTTCAGGGATAAACAGCACTGGTACTTTATTCAATGACTCAGTTAAACAAGCCCTTGCTATGTGTCTTCCCCATGTCAAGACCAGCAGCTCACCATTACTGGGTCTAATTTCTCTCTAGAACTTAGAGCGCTCCTGTTCCCATGTACAGGTGGATCTCAACAGTACTCTTGATACTTGTTAACTTAGATTAGGGTTACTCTTTGGCTGACAGCTGTAGTGTGGAAAAGGAGGGTGGGAAGGAAAGGAGTGTCCTGAACTAAGTAGGAAGGAATTGAAGAGACAAAGGAGGAAGTCAGAGGTGAAGGGAACTGAGAAGTTAGTGGGGAAAAGTGGGAAAATGGTGAAAGTGCTTAGAAAGGTACTTGGTCCCCTTGAGAGAAGAAGGCTGGTGAGGAGACGTGCTGGGCTCCTCCACACCTCAGAGGGAGTAGGGCAGGTGCACAGCAGGCAAATGTGCAAGAGGGCTGCATATTTCTCTGCTTTGGTTGATGTCTGTGTCACCATTTCCAGGACCGTTCGTACAGACGTGTGTGTGTGTGTGTGTGTGTGTGTAGCCAAAGTCTCTCTTGTGGACTACCTTGAAGGTATCTCCCATGGGGATCCAGGTGCAGTCAGCCCTGACCTAGCAGAGTCCCCTGAGACTGTTTACCTTCATCAATAGAGTAAGTTTGACCCGGGCAGTGAAGCAGGTTCCTCCAGCTCTGCTCAGAGGTCATCGTCATTCTGCAAACCAGAAAGGGAGTCACTGCTCCTGTCTGAGTGTGGACTACCTTGTGTTGATGTCTGAGCACATGTATAAAATGCGCTCACTTGATTATTGGTTCCTTGCTAATGATTAAATGAGAGTTGACTTTGAGCCATCTTAGAAAGAGATAAAGAAAGAACAGAACAGAGAAAACCCACCTATCCAGACCAGGGGTTCTTAACCTGGGGTCACAGCTTCCCAAGGAGTTCATGAACAGAATTCGGAAGATCCATGAACTTGGATAGAGAGAAAAATTACATCTTTATTTTCACTAACTTCTAACTAAATTTTTAACATTTTCTTATATTCTCATCTGTGGCTTTGTCGCCAGAAGAAATTAAAGCTGTTTTAATAACACAGAGAAAGATGAACTAACACAGTACTATTGCTGCAAATAGTTCAAATATCGTGTCTGTTCATCACAACGTTGAAATCATGGTAGTCATTAGGTCCACTGCTAGACTGTGTTCATGATGCATTAGTAAAGAAGCACATATGTTGCCATATCACGTTTGTTTTTAATATATATTTTGAGAACTATATTTCAATGTAATTAATATCTTTTGTAATCTTACATATTGTATTTTATACGTTTAAAAACATTATTCTGAGAAGGAGTCATAAGCTTCAAAGGCTCCATGGTACAAAAATCAGCTAAGAACTCCTGAGTAGTCTGTGCAGACTTAGAGAAAAGAAAAGAGACCTGGTTCAGTACAGCGTGGGATCATAAATTCAGGCTAGTCAAAAGAGAGAACCTTAACCTAGACAAATCTGAGAAAAATTTGTGGAAGAAGAAGGAGGAGGAAGAGAATGACAGTATAGTGTCTGGTATTCAGAGAACAGGGCCTCTGAGAGTAGGGGAGTATCTTAATCTTTCAGGCTGCTATAACAAAATACTTTAGACTGGGTAATTTAAAAACAAATTTATTGCTGATGGTTTTGGGGGCTGGGCAGTCTAAGGTCAAGGCACCAGCAGATTTGGTGTCTGGTGAGGGCTCCAGTCTTTGCTTTCTGAGTGGCGCCTTATTGCAGTGTCCTCACATGGCAGAAGGGGGCAAACAAACTCCCTTGGGCTTCTTTTGTAAGGATGCTAATCCCATCCTGAGGGTTCCACCATCAAAACTGAATCACCTCCCCAAAATCCCCTCTTACTACTGTCACATTGGGAATTAGGTGTCAACATTAGACTTTGGGGACACAAATATTCAGACCATAGCAGGGACTATATCCACACTGAGGGATCACAGGAAAAATTGGCTCCTAACCTGGATCCACGTAGATTCCATCCCGGGTCCCTGAGTTTCCCTAACCCGTATACAATTTATACACCTGTACTACCTCATCTTCAGAACTCTCTAAATTTTAAAAATCTAAGGACCAGGTTCCCATTTGGCCTTAAAACTTGAGTCCTGGGCCAGCCCGGTGGCGCACTGCGCTGGTGAGCTGCTTGGGAAGCGCGGCGGCGCTCCCGCCGAGGGTTCGGATCCCACATACAGACCGGTTCCCGCTCACTGGCTGAGCGAGGTGCAGGGGCAACACCGAGGGTTG